GACCAGTCTCACAAGGCCAGCTGCTTGGGCACCTCCTGGCTTCCTTCCTCTATCCACACCCGCCCCTGGAGAGGCCACTCCAGCAAATAAACACGGTGAGGGCCAGTTTACCGGTCGAAAAACCCCCGCTAGATGGACGTAGGAGCGGGATACTTGGGGCTTCCTCTCGACGGTGGGAGAAGTCTTCGCACTTCATTGGACATCTACCGCCCGCCCAAGCTGGGCAGCCCCCAGCCAATAAGGTGCTGTCCCGTCCACGTTCCGCTTGTCTCATTGGGTGCATGAGGCTGAGGGCTGATCCCGAAAAGTGGACCGATAATCAACGCACCAGCGAACAACACAAATAATTGAAATACAAAGGCCTTGCTTGACAGGTATCTAGAAGCTCCCATACGGTTGCTGCGTTCATGCTCCCGCGTTGGATTTACGCCCCACTGCCTGGTGGGTCAGACTTTTGAGTCGAAGGCTTCGTTAGTGTTCCCAGAGAAAAACCCCTTTGTCGGTGTGGGCAACGCGAAATCTGCAATGCCCTAAAGTCTTAGGCACCCATTTGGAAAAACCTCTTTCCGATGTATCTAGTTCTTACTCTCAATCCCGAATAATCCCAGACGCCTCCTGTTTACGCCACTCATCGAATATCACTCAGCGTTTTACCATCAAGGCTAAACAATCAGAAGTTACAGGATTTTTGAGGCCAAAATTTCCTTTTCATTTAGCCGCGTTCAATGTCCGCACACTATCAGATTGGTCACCAAGCTGCCTTGGCTAGGACGCTCGAAACCTTCCATTTAGAGGTATGTTGTGTCTCCGAAACACGCACACAAGACCCTACGTCAATCATTTCCCTGGGTTCTCCTAACCCAACCTCGACCTCACGCTCCACCCTCCTTCCTATAAAACACAAAATGGTCTGACCGCGCATTCTGAAGTTGCAAACCCGTCACGAGCAAGGCTATCGTCCCACTTGGTAATGCTATCCGAAGTAGGCTTGTCAGGAACAACCATACTGTCCTACTGATTGCACTGGCAGGTACAACCTCGTATAAGGAGGCTGAACGACGTAGGACATATCTCTTGTAATTCTATTTTCCAAAATCTCCGAATAATTGTGGTCCAGTTGTTTATCACACACTGTAACAGCAAAAATGTTAAACCCCCTTGGCCACGAATACTGTTCAGTTATCGAAACCGGCATCCTAAGCCCCGCGACATTGAGTGACGAACCACCTAAGGCCCCACTGTTG